ATTCTCTGGTTTCTGGCACTCGACTTGGAGGCTTAATATGGAGGCCTTCACGTGACCCAGTGGGGTGGAGTCGTCCATATTTACTTGTCACGAATTAAATGTCACGAGTAACTCTAACCAGAGGCTATTATGTCTGGCTAGACATAGCAGAAGAATTAGCACCAGGATAGATTATTTCTGCCTGAATTCTGAGGGTGGGGGGACAGAGGACAGGAAAGGGGGAAAAAGAAAGGAGGAGCATGCATATGTTGTGCTTAAACAGTGTCTGCATTGCAGCCACTCAGAAGACGTCTGGCTTAACCACATCTCTAACAACTTTTGATGACTTAAGTCTTATGAAATTCTTACAATAATAATTGCTTTAATTGTAGGAATTTTTTTATGTGTTCACATTTAAAAGCATGAGCTTTCAAAGTTGCTAAGTTTCTTTAGCCAAGGGTATTTGTTACCGGAAGTTTAGAATCATCAGCACGGAGTCTGGTTCCCCACACTACAGTCTCTGGCTTTGCTGTGTATGTAGAATCAGTTAGGAATGTTAAGCACTCATTAGATTCCATACACGGTGACTCACTTCCCTTCAAACCCTGTGAGGTAGATACGCTTCTACCTTTTCTCCCTCCAAGAAGAGAAGCCAGAATCTGGTTCATTTAGGAAACCGCCTCCCCTAGCACAAAGTTTCCGCTATCCCATTTAAACTGGAGCTTCCCACATAAGGGTGGGAGGTAATAATTTCACCAACATTTCCTTACCCAATGTTAACAGATAAAAGCTGTGCTGTGTGGTTTAATTTTATTAAAATTAACACAACTTGCTCAGTGTGATAGCTTCCAATCTGAAATCTTCCTTCCTCAAATTGTCAATACCTCCTAAAAGAACTAGATTCTGGCTCTAATGGAAGCAATTGGTCACATCCAAACTGCAGAACAAATCCAAAATCTACTTGATATGTTGACCTAGTATGTGGACCACCCAGTAACTAACAATGTGAGAGATTTAGAGATCTTCTGGAGTCTTCATTTTAGAGGAGGAAACTGAACCTGGAGGGGGTATTCCTTACACAGAAGCCTTTAGAGAGGTGCAAGAGTATCTCCCTGGTGAGCTACCTTCTACTGTGACACCATGAACATGGTACATAATGGACCATGTCCCAGAGTGTTCACAATCTGTATTGCTAACAGATAAATAACCATATCTCCACCGCGAAACTGGTTCCAGAAAAGTCATTCCTAGGCACGAATCACTTTTGAACTGGGCAGTTGCCCCCAAAAGGTAGAGAATAAGATGAAGCATCTGAGGTGAGATGACACTCCTGAATTATAGCAGGGAAGCCTATGTCCTGCCTGTGACACTGTAAGGACGGCCATTTCCAGGAGAGATGTTTAGGTAACTACAAATTTGAAGAGATCCAGGTTAAGAAAAATTAAGTCCTGGAAGAAAACAGGGAATTATTCTTGTATGCTGGCCCGATATCTTGGCCAAGGTTATATAAAATGAACAGGAAACAGCTCCACAGAGGACAGTTATGACCTAACTCTCTGATGTGTGGTTTAACTCCTGGAAAACCTTCCCTCTTCCTGGTTTATAGTCATCCAGACTGAGAGGACTGGCCTAAATGTTGTAGACTTTACAGCTAGTACACAATTAATTAGAGTTCAAGATGGGAGTGAAGCATGAGAGGTTGGCAGGGGTGTGTGTGTATAAAAGCAGATGCATGCCATCATGAATGTGTCTGAATGTATGTGAATCGCATTGGAAATCTGATTCCCCTGCCTCTGTATTTAGTGTGTCAACTTCTCAGCGTCGCATCCCTTCTGAGACCAAGGCAGCAGTGGTCTCTTGGATTTTTCTCTGCAGGCCAGCATTTGTCTCGTTTAGCCACAGTCATGTTATAGGCTTGGGGCTCAGGGCGGGTTTATCATTGTCTCACATGTGGTGTGCGGGATGTTGTTTTGTCCCAAAGCAGTGAGGAAGCTATGGAAGGTGATTTGGACAGATCCCATCGCATGGCATTTGGAACCCTGAGCTATGGTTAGCTTTCACAGTCAAGGTTAATGGCTTGGATTTGCATGCATTTTTTTCAATGCTTTTCCATAGTTCTTGGATTGGAAATAAAAATAGACAAGTAGCCCAGTGAATAACCCAGGTAAATAAAACCTACCAGACTCCAGGAGGTTCTGGACATGTTTTATTTATGTGGCAAGTTGGTAATTTGGGCTCCTAATTGTCAGGGCCTCCAGAGGAAAGTATTTGAAATCAGAACCTGTTGTTACAAATTGGAGTGTTCACACAGTAGTCGCATAAACAGACCATTGGAAAATAGTAGTGGAAATTGTCACAGCCCTGTCATGCTCTGCATGCCAGCAAACATGACCAGCTTGGGTGGCCAGGTCCCCTGGCTCTTTGACTGTGCTCCCTGCCAGGTGGAACATGTCCCCTGGAAGCACTTGCTAGGAGAGGAAGCAGCTTGGTAACCTATCCCTGCCTCAGAAGGGAATCGCTCCTTCGCCGACAGCCCCACCTTACTTGGTTGGCCACCGGTCACCACCAGACAGTGAGGGCAGTCACTTCAGATCTGAGCACGGCTCAGGGACTCCCCAGCAGCGACTCTCCCCTAAGCTACTTTCTCCCACCATGGCCTCTTGATTCTTTATCTCTTTATTCCACTGCACTGGCTGCCCTTGGAGAAGAAAAGGCACAAAACCTCTTCGCTTTGAGTCTACTTTAGCATTCACAGCTCCAATAACTTTTAATAATATAATGCAGAGACCATCAGGCTGTGTCTGACTTGCTTTATTCACCCATCTCCGAGGATCCTGATTGGGCTGCTGTGTGCAATGACAAACCCAGAAGGCAGAGCAAATCCAAAAACTGGATTAGCAGACAGACAGTCTGTGCCTCCTCAGGCTGCTTCCCCTTGAAACAGAAAAGGCTCTTTGACAAAAACCGGCTTCAAAGTTTCTGGGTAGAAGGAACAGAGTGGCTTGTAACTAAAGGGAAAGAAACCTTTGATCTTCCTGGGATAGGCAATGTGGTACGTAGTGAGAATGGACCCTGAAATCGTGTTGCTCGAAAACTTTTTTTTTCTCCAGGACTCTTATTCAAGAGGCATAAGATAATGATGTCAGGAATTTCAAAATGACAAAGATGGAATAATTGCATGTGGCTGTAAGACCAGACTGTGAGGCGGTTAAATGAGAATATGCACATAATCTGTGTATGTTATATGCAGTGTGTAGTGATCTCTTTAGTTTTAGAAGATATGCAAAATCTGGCATCCACCACAGACAGTGATCAAAAGTACCACGGGCCCTCAGGGCTGACCAGCTCCCCTTCAGAAGGAATATGATAGACGGGTGTAGTAGGTAACTTTCTTCCCTCTCACAAAGGAGCACATCGACAGGGTGACAGGAACATGCACCCTTTCCATATTGTTCCCGTGGAAGTTTCTTCATAAGGGTGTTGATGACAGAATAGGATCAGAAAGAAGAAACTGATTCAGCTTTTACAGGGCTACTTCCCTGCCAGAGCATGCCGGGCGCCCAGAAACTGCTGGTCCTACGACACTCACCATCACTAAAGCCGCAAATGTTGATTCAGTGGGGTCATTATCAACATCTATTATGAACATGCTGTGCATGGCCGTTTACAGGAACAACAAAAACAGCTCTGTCTGTGAGAGAGTATGTGCGCGCGGATGAGTGTTTATGTAACAGAGAGCATATGTGTGTGGAGGGGCTTTACGCCATCTCATGGCCGCAGAAGGTGAGGACAACTTTGGGAGGTCAGTTGGTGCTTAGGTTCCCAGTCTTGAACTAAAGACAACAGGCTGGCACAGCACGCACGACCACCCACTGAGCCATCTCACCGGTATCAGGAACCAGGCAGCACACATGGAGTCTCGTTTTGATTAACCAGTGGGGCCATGGTTCAACCCAGACTAACTGGTGAACTAATCTAGATGACTCTCTCTTTATTGTCTCTACAAAGCAACAAAAAGCTACCTATTCTGGCCAAGAAGGGTAAACAGTATTTCCAATATTCTATCCCATTTTAAAGACAGCAAGTCTAAGTGACTAGCAGTCTCCCGTTCCACAGAGGAACGGCTGGGGCCCAGGGGCACAGAGTCCATTGTAAATGAGGATCAGAGACCTCTGTGTGCGAATGAAGCTATCGCTGTCCAAATCTTGCCCTGGAGTGAGGGATGACTATTTTGTCTTCACAAAATGGCCCAGATGGTTGCCAACAGAGATACCTACTAGTGTCTGCCGCATGGCGATGGGTAAGCTGGTGCAATGAACAAGTGTGAGGCTTGAAGGCAGAAGGCAGAGGCCCCAAATCCACCATCATTTCCTCTTAGCTGCGTGACATGATACCTGCTGCGTGTCATCCTTGGGCCTCATTTCATGTTATTATTACCCCAATCAAGACTGTCCTACGGGTGAGCCTACTTCCCTGTTCTCGGGTCTCTGGGTAAATGTCAGTTATGATTACAGTCTAATTCTTTGCAGTGCACTATTGACTTGCTCCCTGATCTTTGGAACTCTCTCCTGGCATGGTAGCTTGCTCATCTGTAAGCAGTAACTGCTGATACAACATTTTAGTATGCACCCTCCAGCCACCATTTTCAACGCGTAGTGACTTAGAAATCTTTTGGGATTCTGTGAAAATAGATTTCTAGACCCCAGGGATTATGAGCAAGAACAGCTGGATGGAGTCTTGTAAAAGTCTTTTGAAGGCCCCCACTAGATTTTAATATAACTTAGGCTGTGAATACTTTTGGAAAAAAAATCTGCCATACAAGCCCAATAGACAAGAACCAGGATATCTATAGTATCCCGATATCTACGCTCCATCCCCTGACCAGAAGACTGACTCAAAAGCCATAGAAGTCCACTGTGGGCTTGAGTATAGACTACACAGTAAACTCTCCGGGCACCCACCCCATGGGTGTGTGTGTAAGGTTAACTCAGTGCCATGGCCTCTTTTTCTTGTCTCTGCAGACACATTTGCCAGCAAAGTAGCAGCCACTCAGGACCAGTACGCAGATGCATCCATAGGCAACGTCACTGGGAGCAACGCTGTGAATGTCTTCCTGGGAATCGGCGTGGCCTGGTCCATTGCTGCCATCTACCACGCGGCCAACGGGGAACAGTTCAGAGTGTCCCCCGGCACGCTAGCTTTCTCCGTCACCCTCTTCACCATTTTTGCATTCATCAACGTGGGGGTGCTGCTGTATCGGCGGAGGCCAGAAATCGGAGGTGAGCTAGGTGGGCCCCGGACTGCCAAGCTCCTCACATCCTGCTTGTTCGTGCTCCTGTGGCTCTTGTACATTTTCTTCTCCTCCCTGGAGGCCTACTGCCACATAAAAGGCTTCTAAAGGAACAATCAGATATAGTAAATTTATATATACATATATATACATAAAAAAATTATGTATAATGAACAGAGGAAACTGACCTTTGTTATGTTCACTTAACCTGCTGATGGAATCCAGCTTCAAGAACATACTCTGTACTAGGGCGGAAGTCAGAAACCACCATCTCCCATTCCCAGGGCATCATCGTGTTGAACAAGGCATGGAGGCAGGTGCACCTCGCATCTCAGCCTAGGAGGGCTGTACCCTCTCCAAGTGTGTAAATGGCTAAGGCTTTGGTTTGTTTTTCTTTTGTTTTGTTTCCAGTGGGGTCGGGGAGGTGGTAGTTGGCTTTTGGTTTGGTTTGGTTTTGCTTTGTTTTGTTGGGAGAGCCAGGATCCTCCTTCTCTTTATGGGAAGCGGTGATCCACCCAAAGGTGTATGGATTTGGGATCAATCTGGAAATCATTACGAGTTTCTCCTCACCTCCTCCAAACACTTTAAACATTACTTTGGATTAAGGAAGGAGCTGGGCATGGAAGAAGAAAGAAGCACGTCTTTATTACCAAAATGTTATGCTTATCTCCGAGATGTGAATGGAGGCGAATTGCCTCGAGGAAGAGAAGCATGGGAGCTGAACTGGAGCCAGGAGAAGCGATGGTTCTAGACGTAGACTAAGGACATGGTGCCTGGCACTCTGGTTCAACTGGTACAGGGATAACGTGCCTAGATTCCCAGGAACACTCAGAACTCTTCATACTTATCTCTTTCGCTCTGAACTGTGATTAGCAAGACCCTTATTCCGCCCAGCCCAGCTCATTCCCCAGGTATCCTATCCCCAGACCTCCTCCTGCCCACCACCCAATCCCCTGCAAGCAGGAAGATTAACCCCATACCCCCACCCCCCAAAAAAATAGATAATCCTTTTGGTCATCACGTGAATCCAGGTCCCACGTTGCTGTTGCCTGGGATTTTTCCATCAGTTTTATTTTCAGTGGCATCCATGGCTTGCACAATCCTGTTCCAGTCATGACTGAACATTTGCCCTCCTTCATGTGCCTGTTTGGGAATGTTGTTGTGATCCCCTTTACACAGTGCATGGATGACAAACCAAGAAAACAAAGCGTATCTGTATATAGTAGAGTATAGCAAATCCTGTTCTCCCATTCGGCGATGTTGATTGGACATTGAAGACGCGAGTTTTCTTTTCACCTGAGTTGTTACTTTTGAGTTGTTACTGAGTTTGAATATCAATAGGTATAAAAGAAGAAAATGGCTTAATGTTCATGATTCTGCACATTCGTTTCTAAGAAGCAATAACTGCCATGTGAGGAGAGATTAAAGCTATTGAGAAGACAGAGGAGCTACAGAGATCTCCATGGGATTTTAGCCATGTAGGGCATAGCAGAGGCCTCCGAGAATCACCCATGATTAATTCAGGCAGGCCAAAGAGAAAGGCTGGGGAGAAAAGTGGACACTTTAGGTGTGCCTGTACTTTTAGAGCCACCATCTCCACACTACCCCTCCCCCAAAGTATTTATTGCACATCTGCACTGTCTGGCACAGATGGTAGATAGTGCTAGCTTGTTTTACTTTACTTTTTCTGTAGAAGGCTGTTTTGAGCCCTGTTTCATTCACCATCCAGTCCAGACTCCCTGAATTCATTAGGAACTCCTGAGTGGAAAAGAAACCGGGGTGACCAGTGGGCCTTTACAAGTCCACTGCATATGACGTGAAGAGGAGATAACGCAAAGAGACTGGAGCATCCCAGGAAGACAGCACTGGAGAGTTGTTTTTAACCCTTTGAAAGAAATAGCTCTTTCTATTCAAAGGTACCAAAGAGCAAAGATAAACCCAACATTCCAAAAGCAGTGCTTCTACTAACAAGGGAAATGGAATGGCTTCGCCCGCCTCTCAGACAGGTCTCTGAGACCTCCATGACCCTTTGCATTATTGATTCAAAGATACTTAAGAAATAAATGTTTCTGAGACCTCCTTTCTCTTCTTCCACTGTGATCATAGCAGTCCATTATTTAAATACACATTTAGTCACTGAGTGAGTAGTTAGATACTTGTTACCCATTCAGTAGGTAATATACTACTTCCTGGTAGCTGACCAGTGACCAAGATAGCCCAGATTCCTGCCCCCAGGAGGTATGTAATGAATGGGATCCCTATTCAAATAGTATGAGTTGGCCTAACCATACGGAGACAGTTTTATCTTGCAAGAGAAAGATAATTATGACTTCTTTTTAACCCAATCACATTTAAAAAAATTGCACAACAAAAGCAGTTGACCAAATACTCACTTTTTTTTCTTAAAAGAATGTAATGTTTCACTCTGGAACAGTAGCCTTTCACCTTGGTCAACTTGCAGGTTTGTTCATCTTCCTACTTTAGACCAAGCAGGGTAGTCATGGTGGTGACCGGAATCACTGAGAAGACCCAGTTAACCGGTTTTTATCTATGTGGCACTGGTACCTTTCCATCACAACATACTGCAGCCTGCCAATATTGGTGACACTGGTGGCCCACAGAGGTACATTCTAACCCACCTTGTGTTTTTTTCTTTAACTTTATTTTAGATTTTAAACGTGGAAAGCTAGCCTAGAACTACTAAGTAAATACAGTCCAAGGATCTACATGGTTAAAATATTAGAAAGGTTTTGCACTGTTTTTGATTTGTTTTTGTTTCTGTTTTGTTACATTCCATCTTTGGAATGTCAATACTCCTGTAGTGAATTTTCACCGAGACCTTCCCAAGAAACTCTTACCGTTGGTCAGTTTCAAGTTCAAGCTTTTTGGTTTGTTTGCCTTTTCAGTCTTCATGCTGTAGGGAAAATATGATGTTCAGGGTTGTTAATTATGTGTAAAATGATTTCATTTTATTTGTTTGATTATTATTTTATTTTGTGTGTATTGTGCACGACTTTAGGGGAGCAGGCACGAACAGTGTTGTTCCTTAAAATTGGTACACATTATTGACACGAAAAAGAAATAAAGTTTCTAATTGTTTGTGATTTCATTGCCAGTGGCATAGCATATTCTGTACTGGGGAATGCCTCTCTTGACCATCGGCTCCAGTCTCCATTCTGTACTGGGGAATGCCTCTTTTCATTGTCCTTTGTTTGTTTTCATGTTTTGAAGAAATAAAGACCAACAAGGTATCATTGTGCAACTGGTATCCTCATCCACAGGAAAGGAGACAGCCAGAATTCAAGGTCATGCAAATGTCAGCTCTTTGGACCGGCAATGTTCTCGTTTAAATGTCCCAAGAGCAGCACATGGAGTCAGAATGTCTGTCTGTCCTGTGACACTGATCAACATTGGGTGTGCCTTGCTGTCACCATTTTCTCACCTTTTAGTTTAACTCAATCTTCTTGCTTTCTGCATCCAAGGTCATGGACTCATAAACTATTATTGTCAGGCAACTTTTAGCACACAGTGCATTAGACTAAATCATGCAACCCATCACAATGGATATTGGAAGTACAGTTACTTTCCAAGGGACAAGCAAGTCGTTCATTTAGAATCATGTATTGTATTTCTTCTTGCTCGTAGTACAGCTTATGCTTTATGTTATTAACTTCTGACTTTAAGCATTATATGTTCCTGACTTTCCTTTCCCATACAATCGACAGAGCCTAGAAGAGGTGACCCGGAAAAGAAATAGTGCCCTCTTCCTGTGGTAGAATCTGGACATTAGCTGCATGTAAATGACTCTGTTCATCTGACCACCTTATTTCCCACAAAATCTTTCAATACGGCATCATGTGGGCATGTGTGGCACATTTTCAAAGGAGGGAGGAAATAAGGTACAATTTAAACACTCTTCTTGAATCAAAGAATTGATTATGTCTTCTGAATATTGATCTTTAATTTTATATAAAATTGGAAGCCAGTGGTTACTTCTTGAATAAAGAGCAAAAATGAGTAATATAGTGGGGATCCTTAACCATTTAATAGACTTCAGCAAAATTCTCTGGCTGATTGACTCTCAAGGGCTTAGGAGCTAGCACTCATTTTTTCCACAGGTTCTGATTCAGTGCTTCCAAACACAAAGATTTCAGAGAATCTTGCTTTCGAAAGTATAAGTGCACTAACTTTTTGTTACTATTGCTTTTCCAGTGTAAGAATATAATACAAATAAGTTGTCTGAAACAAGCCTGCAAGATGGACAGGTAGCTCACATCTAACAAGCAGCCCCTCCCCAAGAGGTGATCTCAAAACAAAGAGAAATGCATTGTGTCCATTGCCCTTTCCACACCAGGCTTCTGCCATTAGGAACTCTACACACCCACATTCCTGGCCTTAACCTAACAAAATCAAGTGAGCGGGGCTAGTTTGCTCTCATATCCAACAGCTTTGTGGAAGGAATTAGAAACCCCCTCTTTTTTAAAATCAATTCAGCTTCATTAAGACTTACTTAGTTTTTGCTTTGGTTTTTTGGTTGGTTTTTTTTTTTTTCTGAGTTGAAAATGTGAAATCTGTCTCTTGGGTTTGACTTTCCTTTTCTTTGGAAACCATACCCAGAGCAAGTAATGGCTGCACCATGATGAGTTTAGGAACCTTTGGCCATTTCACCATTGGCATTGTGCATCCTAACTTACAGCTATAATCTGCCATTCTTTACAATAACCATGCCTCTTGGCGAGGCATTCTAACCATTGGCAAATCTTGGAAGTGTGACGATCAGTTGGTAAGCAAGTGGTGTGTCACACAAAACAGACATGAAAAAAAACCTGAAAAACATTTATTTTACTAAGGACATGTGTCTTGTGAATAGATTCATTAACTTGTGTTCATGTCTCCCTACATATTTAATTTGATTTCTTTTGCAATAGATTGGGGATTTTGTTATTCTTTTCAAACATTATTATTGCCATACCCATTGTCTTCCCACATTCCAGCACATTCCAAAGTTTGGCTAGTCCTGATGGCACTGTATCACTGGGAATGCCGTGGAAAAGAAACACAACTGAAATAGTGAAGTGTTCCATTTTTAATACTTAACCAGGGCCTGGGTAGCAATGTCCCAGGGCAGGGGATGTCTTTCTCATAGAAGGGCCAATCACTGAGAGCTAGAATTCCTAAGACGCAGAGACTGCTTTCACTCTTGGGTCCATAGGAAATGGTAAGTATCCAACTTGCTGAGACCTTGCCTCAGCCTGCCAAGATGTCCAAAGGGATGCACTCAGAGAATCTCCAAGTTTTCAGTTTTGTCAAACATTCTCTTATTTCTTTGTCTCAAGGGACGTTTACAGATCATTACATATTCTTGATGCACTTACTTTTTGTAAAGAGAATCACTTCATAATGTAGGCTTTCCTTTCCATACTTGCCCAACTTTGTTATACTTCCATCAACCACTCTTAGTACGTACAGTAAACTTCATGATGCCTGCTGTTACCTCTCAGCAGCAGGGGAAAGCTCATGCTACAAGGAATAGCTCGAGAGTTTTTCTTTTCCACAAAGACAACAGATTTTAGAGCAAAATGTATCATCTCTACGAATACTTGGATTATGTGGCACCCTAGAGTTACATTCTAGTTCATTAATGTCTCTTGGGGTTGTATTTATCATGCCCCATGTCCATCTCCCAACCTATTCATTCAATATCTGTATGTAGAGTGGGAAAGAACAGCAAGACATATGTCCCCAAGCCCCGTGAAGAGTTTCTCTAAGGGTGTCATATGTAAACACACAAAAATACATATGACTCTAAGAAACATGAGTGGCTCAAGTGTTTCACTCATTAGTATGTTTCAGGAATGCAGTGGGTAAGAAAATTCACATTAATGATCAATTAGACCAAGAAAGAAATTACCAAACTTCAGGATTACTGGATCTGTTTTAGGAGTTAACTCACAAAGTCCAATCCTAATAATTCGTTTGTTGCAAAGACAGATATACTCTGTCAAATCTAAAAATGTACTTGAGAAAGGGAAAGTTACCTACTAGGATGACTATACAGCCCTCTCTACCAGAGCCCCTTGCTAGTGAGCTTATAATCTATAGGTCTATTTCTTAGACTCCCTTGCAAACATGTAATAGAGAAGATCACTTCGGCAAGACAGAGATCTTTTCTATAAGTATGGTTGCTGATTTGCAATGTTCCACCTCTATGGTGAAGATCATAATCCTGATGATTTTTCCAAATGAAATAACTACCCCATATATTAAATCTATTAGATTCAACCAAATCTGTAACTGCTTCACAAAATATTTCACCGAAAAAATAAATTAGATAGCATATCCATGATAAGAATCATATGATCACAATGGCTGATTTTGTGAAAACATGAGATTCTTTGTGAATCTTTCCCTACATTGCTAAATTCATTTTAGCAAACATTAGACTTGAAGAATATGCCAATGAAAAATCTTAGGAGTTTTTTATCCTGCATTGTGATAATGCTCATAGAATCAAGTTGTAAAGTTAAAATAATGATATGGGTGAGAATTGTCTATACCTTTGACAAGATTATATTTTTTAAATGGAACAGTTTGGCATTAAGAAAATGTGTTAAGTAGGATTTCATCACATATTACCCTTATTTAAGATATTTGAAAGTCATTACCTTTAAGCAAGAAAGATTTCCATTTCCCTGAGACAACTGTATAATTTAAACTCATTCTCATGTTTGATATGAAAGTCAAAGCTGGGCATATATAGCTTTTGGCTTGGACAACTAAAGGAAAGTATGCTTTGGCCCACTTTCCATGTCATTGAATTATTTTGTGGAATACATTAGAACTGTGCAGATGTCTCATAAAAATATTTGCAATAATTCCCCTCCATTTTAAAATGTATAATGCTTTTAAATCACTCAACTTGGTAACTTAATACTTCTCCCTTTTAAAAGATGACTCCATTTTGATGGTGTTACTAACATTTCAAGACTAATTATAATGTTGAATCAATCATAGGATGGGATATTGGACTTGAGTCAGACCCAATAACCATGTGGTCCAGACAGATCTTCCAGTAGTTAAATGTTTCTGATGAACCAGCATTTTAGGGTAAAATAAAGGTGAATGTTGCATTTAGTCTTTTTTCTACCAAAGGTTTGCATTTTAACCAGTGCAAAAACAAGTTTAGAAGATTTGGATTCTTTTTCTAAAAACTGGACAATGTTCCAACACTGGCTCTCTCTTCTCCTTTTTCTCTCACACCATAGAGATATGCACATTAAAAACAAAGATAAGTTTCACATGTTAAATAGCCTGATCTGCATCCTACCTATCTATCTATCTAGGGTTGCCCAGAAATTCATGTCAAGTTAATTCTTTTCACATCATATCTTTTTCATGAATGGAACAAAGCACAGAAGGGAATGCTATTCTAAAGGTAAAGATGTACATTTCAAGTTGTTTGAGAACTGTTTAGAATAACAAGTATCCTTCCCAAAACAGGTGCAAAATCTTTTTTTAAAAAAATAAATTTCAGCTAGGAAGCCTTTAGGACTGATCTAGTTTCTTCTGACTTTGAGAATGAGTGTCAAAAACAGCTCTTGGGAAAAAAAAAATCTGACCAAGATCAAATTCTGGGAGTTAAAATAGGACGGGATTTTGTGTTTTTGCTTAAGAGATGGTGTCAAGCAGGCAGGCAACCACGTCAGACAATATTTTCAAGAAATGTGTCCTAGCAGTTGGGAGACACAGAGTAGGGTCTCACCCAATCTGTCCACTGATATACTTTCTCCCCAGTCTGGTTGCATGTTGGGAGATACAGAAGAGGGTCTCATCCATCCTGTCCACTGATATACTATATCCCCAGCCTGTGGATCTTTTACTGGCTCTGGTTAAGGTTAGACATTCACAAAAGGCTCAACACCCCCCAACTTTCACGTCTGTTGGTTGTCTTATCTCTGGCATTTCCCCTTCAAAATCTTACTAGCCCGGCCAACCAGTTGCCCATGAGGCTTCTCCAAGGAGTCCTCTCAGGACAAGGCATGAAATTGAATTTATTACAGTTGTTATCATTAAATCATCAAAAGCTTTTTGTCAAGTTTCTGTCCAAAACTCTAAGAGCAAAGTTCCTGCTTTCATCAGTATCTTATAGGAACTTTGACACACCAACTCTAGTGGTCATGGCATTGTTAAATGAGAAGAAAGATCGCTTTATGACTCCTTGGGATTCACTTCACACTGCTTCAGAACTTCC